ATGACTATATAATATAAAATAATAAATACAAAATACTAGTCATGCTAACAATATATATAAGCTGAGCCATTGATCTTGCTTAAATCAACGTCCAGGATTACTAAAATTTTAAAAAAAAAAAACGCGGTGGCAATTTGGTAATTTTGTATCTAGGTTAAATTTAAGTGCGTGGATTTTGTGCGTAAGGTGCGTGGTTTTTGTACTTAAGGTGCGTGAGTTTTGTGCTTAGGGTGCGTGGATTTTGTGTTTAATGTGAGTAGTAGGTGAAACTTAAGGTGCGTTGTTTTCCTTCTTAAGGTGCGTCAATTGTGTGAAACTTAAGGTGATCCATTTTAAAATTTTAGGTGCGTGGTTTGTATTCTTAAGGAGTTAAGGTGCTTTGTTGTATGTTTAAGATGCGTGGTTTGTGTTCTTAAGGTGCTTTGTTTGTATGCTAAAGGTGCATGGTTATTTGTGTACTTAAGGTGCACCTTGTTAATGATTAAGGTGCGTCAATCATACAATCGCACGGGAAGCCTTCTCCGCACCTGAACCCTTCCCTATATATATATATATATATATATATATATATATATATATATATATATATATATATATATATATATATATATATATATATATATATATATATATATATATATAAACATAATAAGTGTGAATGAAAGTTATACCCCTGATTTATGTCCCATTTTTCCGTTAAGTTTTTTTGTACATTATGCTATAAAGGTTGTACATTAAAATATTTTGGACAAACATACCCCTACCGTTATAACTTCCGTTATCTTTTCCACTATTGTTACCATGCACATGCATTCACCATATATTTTCTTATCTTCTTCATTAATAATAATATATACACATTAAATATTTGAGTTATATGTTAATTATTACATAAATATAAATATCAAATTTATAAAAATGATTTATATTATTATTATTATTTAAAATAAATTAAATATCTAAAATCTAAATAAATTTAAAATTTTAATATAATGTATTAATATTAGGCACATATTTTTTGCGCATTGCGCATAAAAAATACTAGGAATTATGTTATTGTACATTATGTTTTTGTATATTATGGTATAAAAATTGTACATTAAAATATTTTGGACAAACATGTCCCTACCGTTATAACTTCCGTTATCTTTTCTACTATTGTTACCATGCACATGCATCCACCATATATATATATATATATATATATATATATATATATATATGGACAAGGGAAGGGTTACAGTATATATATATATATATATATATATATATATATATATATATATATATATATATATATATATATCAAATTTGAAGAGCCCAAAATTGGTGCATATGAAATGATTGCCCCCTTTAAAATAGAAAATAAATGCCAGGTCACGAGCTAGGAGGTGGCGGTAAAAAATGGTGGCCGACTGGTGGTTTTTTTTTTTACTAGAATTTATAGGATTACTACATGTGCGCTGCACACTTGTGCATTTTTTTAATTTTTATTCTCCTCTTCCAAGATGGCATACCGCCCGCCACAAGGAGATTTCTTCGCTTCTTCCACTTTCATCCATGGCAGAAGACCAGCCGGTGATGCCGTTAAATACTGGGGTCGTGGCTGCTACTTTTTGCACCATTCAATTTGCGCTCACTTAAGAACGTAACTCATACAGTTTGAGTTTCCACTATCCTCTGATACCATCCTTTCATTTCCCCGCCGGCGATGGAGAGCAACGGCCACCTATGCTCCGGCGACCTGCCGACGGTGATGGTGACGAACGACGACGGCGTGGACGCTCCTGGGTTGAGAGCTCTGGTTAGCGTCCTCGTCTCCACGAATCGCTTCAACGTCCTCGTTTGCGCTCCCGACTCCGAGAAATCGGCTGTTAGTCACAGCATAACCTGGCGCCACGCCGTCCCGGTGAAGAGAGTTGAAATTAGCGGCGCCACAGCCTTTGCAGTTACTGGTTAGGGCAATTCAAGTTTTTCTATTTAAATTTTGATTTATCATCGTTATCTATTTTTGGATCAAATATTAGTGACTACACCAAAAATTATAATTCACAATTTTTCCTTCCTAGCATCTTTTAGTTTTATAGCACTTGATAAGCATTCATTACTATACCAAAAGACTAGGGACAGAGTAAGCAATTTTGGCGAAACATTAAAACAAAAGAGATAATTTAAAAAAAAAAAATCAAACACATCTCATTATTAAGATAAAAGAATGTTATATATATGTGTATTAAATATTAAAAAGCTATTTAAAATATGACTGTGTTGAAACAACCAACTATAAAATTATGTTAATGCCAAGATTCAAACACATCATTTATCATAACTCAAAAATCAACTCTTGTTCATATTTAATAGTTTTATTTTACTAATACTAACACATGTACTATATATACATACAAAAATTATATATGGAACGGGGTTGGGGTGAGGGGGCAGTTTCCCCCCCCCCCCCCCCCCCTCTCCCCTTTGGCTCCGTCCCTGCAAAAGACTATAGCTCAGCCCTAAGAGCTTAGTGTAGTTGATTAATCACCAGGTTATAACTGGAGGCGGTAGTGTGGGGTTCGAGTCCCACTGGAAGAATATAAGAAAAAAAATATCTGAAGATACTAGAAGGTTTGGATTGGATTCCTTATGAGCAAATGAAGACAATGATATGATTGGTGGGCTGATTGCACCACTCGTGATTTACCTTCACAGTAGCTCTAGGAGCGAGGTTTTTGTGGACTTAGGATCAGTACACCAAAACAAAGATCACTTAATTTTTTTTTAAAAAAAAAAACCTATAGCTCAAAGTCAAGATACAACTTTATTTTCTTATATACTATCATCACATTTTCAGAAGTCAATGTGCTGAACTTGTCTTTTAGTGTCATCCGCCTAACAATTCCATAGCCGCCTGACTTGGGCCCAACAATCTTCTTCTGTTTTTCTAATTTCCATTTTGCATTGCTTCTCCCTTGCAGGAACTCCAGCAGATTGTGCCTCCCTGGGAATCTCAAAAGCTCTGTTCTCTTCGGTGCCTGATTTGGTGATAAGTGGCATTAATATGGGCAGCAATTGTGGGTATCACATTGTCTACTCCGGAACAGTGGCCGGTGCCCGAGAGGCTTTCGTCAATGATGTCCCATCTATCTCTCTATCCTATGACTGGGTTCATGGGAAAAGCACCATTGATGACTTCACACTAGCTGCCGAGGCTTGCATACCCCTCTTCACTGCCATATTGGCTGATATCAAGAACAAAACTTATCCCCTTAATTGCTTTCTCAACATTACTGTGCCCACCAATGTTCCCACCCACAAGGGCTATCGCCTCACCAAGCAAGGCAAAAGTTTCATCAGAACCGGATGGAAGCAAGTCACTTCTGAGACAGAAGGAGGGAAAATGTTGTCAACTATGACTATGGACATGACTCCAACACAAACTGCACAACAAAGTGTTGATAGCACTCAGGAGGATCAGTTTTTCTTCAGTAGAGAAGTGAGATCACTTTCCCCTTTCTACCTCTACCTCTCATTGTTGTTGAGCATATATATATATATATATATATATATATATATATATATAAATGTGAAGTACAAGCCAGACAACTTTGGACAACCTAAGCTGGTTTATTTCATTATGATCCTTTACCGGTTAAAATCACAATATGAGGTTTATCTAGTGAATATCCTCGGATAGTAGCTGTGAGTTTCTTTTGTCATCACCCCAAATGTGCAGTTTAAACGAGCTTGGTTGGCATGAGTAACCATGCACTCTCATCCCTTAAGAGGGGTTGGGAGTTCGAACCCCCTCTCGTATGGAAAAACCAATCTGGCCAGCACTTTGCCCCTTAATTGGGTCGGCCCGGTGCGAGTGCGGATTAGCCTGAGTATGGTACGGGCTTAAAGGTGTCTTCTACAGTTAGGACTTGCTTAGAACACCTCATGGCCTGACCAAAAAAATAATGTGCAGTCTAATTAACTATCAATTTAGCCTTTTAATCGAGATTGAACACATCTTTAATTATTGTTTTGTTTTGTTCTGCATTATGTCCTTTTTAATTGATTATTAAAATTGTTGTTATAACAGGTTAGGGCAAAACAAGTGGACAGTGATGGTACAGATTATGGTTCTCTCCAAGAAGGATATGTATGTGCAGTGCTAGCTCCTAATGTTTTGTTTATTTAATCTTAGTTATTTATTTGTTGTAGCTTTATGATTAACTCGCTGCTTTTTTTTTTTTTTTTAATCATAGATAACTGTCACTCCCATTACCGCCTTATTCAACGTTGACTTAGATGGTGTAACGTTCCTTAATGAATGGTTGCGTTCTGTGGGTGAATGTTGCAATTCTACACCCTAAGCTGCCTCAACAACGGAAGAAATGGAGACTCGATCGTCGTTCAAATCTTGCACACTTCAGGATTATTGTGTTCATTCCTTGAATTTAAAAGTTCCCAGCTGCTTATATGTGTTATTGGTATCAATCGATAATCAAATAATATATTTGGAAAATTAATTTATTAATGTGTTTGATCCTATCTCATGTTGTTTTACTATTGATTTAATCTTTTAATTAAAAACAGAACACATCATTAAATTTGAAATCAAAGCCTCAAACAAACACAATTCTGAATTTCCAAAAGTCATTATATGTTACCGGATGGTGGGCAGTATGTCCATTGTGATGACCTTATTGTCCCCAATTTACACTCCAAAAAGACATCGAGGTATTTTAGCAAATAACTTATAGCTTGTTGACGGGTCAAACAACCAAACTTGGTTAAATAATTAGGAAACTTGGTCAAATAATTAGGAAATTTTTGAGTGATCAACCACTAACCAAACACCCAAAATGCATGTAATTAAGTTGATAGGTTGGGTAATTCCCAGATGAAGTAAATGGCATATTGAATTGGCTGGTCCACCCATTCAACACTCATTAAATATGCCTTCATTTCTGACATAGTTGGTGCCAAATAAAATTAGCAAATTAAACTACTTATACTAGTAAAACCCAAGGCCAAATACTTTAAATAAAGACAAGAAATAAGTGAAGAAGCAGGCATAATAATGTTAATTATAATTTAAGAACATTTCTAATAATAAGAGTGGCTTATTGATCACTAAAAGATCCAAAGCCCAAACCAAGGAGAAAAGAGCAAAACTTGAAGCAATAATATAATGCAGACATATATATATTTACACGGCTAGCTTAGCTTTACTCCCATTCTCTTGTGCTTTTGTGTATAATAAGAAGGCTCATTTGGGTGGTGCTGGCAAAGCAGGCCGATGCGACTCCACTAGTATAGACCAGAGCACATGAACATCCTCGTATGGACACGACTTGACATCCTCGTACAGAATGTATATCCCTCTTCCTGATACAAATTAAGAAAACAGAACATAAAAGTGCTGCACAATTAAGGAGAATATATATGAGACCAGAATGAATGGACATTATTGCATACTCTTCTTAGGGGGGGAGTGGAGACGAACCCAGAGCTTCTTGAGAGGAGAGAAGAGGGATTGGAGCCACCCCATGTGTAGAAGAAGTGGGGAGCTCATGGTAGGTGATGGAGGGGGGGAAATAAGAGGCAGAAAAGGGTAATGTTGGCTAGTTTGCTTAGACAAGGGTGAAGTGAAGTTTAGGTCACTGTCCCAAAAAAAAACATTTCTTGATTTGTATGTATTCCTTTGTGCACAAATATAATGAAAATTATTATCATGCATTATTATTATTATTATTATTCTCACCATTTTCACTTGGTGCTATGTCTCTGTCGTCCTACCTTTTCCCCCTTGCACCCGAAGCTCCCACTCTACCAAATCACCAGTACTTTTCACACTTCTACTGCCCAAGAAATTTCGCTCTTACATATATAGTTAATCTCACTCTTTTTGACAAATGTCTACTATAACATATATATTGCTCCGTATTTGGATTAATGTTTGAGCACAACGTAGAATGCTTTCCTTACAATTGTCCATTCATTATTGGCTAGACTAAACTTACTAGACAAAACTATCAAAATATTGGTGTGTGTGTGTATTAAGCACACATACCTCTTATAGTGATTAACCGAGAAAGAATTGGTCAATACAACATGGGCTGGCACATGTTTGGGTAAATCACGGTGACTCAAGGGCCTAGTTCACTATATTGGATGTAACCCAACAGTGCGGCTGCCAAGGCCCGATTTTGTGTCCTTGCCCACAATATACGACTCAAAAACCAATTGATCTGATGAGCTACTCGGGGGAATTCTGTGTCCTTTACCAGCACATGCTTAATGCTGGGCGGAGGAAGGTAAAGGCCAAGTCTAGCACCCGGTGTCTGGAGATTGTTGGGCGGAGGAGGGTAAAGGGTTTAAAGGGCCAAGTTTAGCACCCAGTATCTCGAAAATGTGCGACGGTAATACGTACGGTATAAGGAAATAAAGTTGCGTTTTCGCAATTAGCTCGCTATAGCTTTTGGCGTGAGTGGTAAGTGCTCGTTTCTAACAAGTGGTATCAGAGCTAAGTTACAGGTTCGAGTCCAAACAATTTGGTTTGTTGGGCAGAGGTCGGTAAAGTCCAAGTCTAGCACCCGGTGTCTTCACTACTAGCTCGCTATAGCTTTTGGTGTGAGTGGTAAGCGCTCGATCCTAAAAAGTGGTATCAAAGCCAGGTCACGGGTTCGAGTCCTAACAATCTTGTGGGACAAGTCTAACACTCGGTGTTGTGACAAATATATGTTATATTTGACAACACTTATGTGATCGAGTTGACATCTGAATCTCTTATTTAAATATAATATTTTATATATGTTGGAAATCCATCTTATGAATTTTAAGATTTATAGTGGATAAATGAAAATTTTACAATGGTACAAAATTGCAAGGAAATAGCTTAAACTTTAGTCACTATCATCCCTTATTCTCAAAGCTATTACATGTGGTTTTTAGGCAGTATAGTATAACCGAGTATGACTAGGTGCTACAATGTTTCTTTACTTCTTTAGGGTCCCTCTTGTGCTCTAAGAAAACAATCCCCGTGAGATAATAAGTTCATCTCAAGCTTTCATGTTGTGTTGGTCCACGTATCCCACTAAAATTTCGCTCTGATCTCTTAATTAATTATGTAACCCAAAACCTATTAGAGGGATTTTGAAGCGGAACAAGACCCGTTTCATAAGACACATTAATAGATAAGTTAATTTTGTATAGACTGAATAACAATACATTATGATTATACTAACCTAGATATACAAATTTTTGAGAATCTATAGAAAATTTAGGCTCAAGTCTTTTTTGTCAATATTGTTGGTGTTGTTATACCAAGATATTAAGCATATATTATATAAAATATAAATGAATAGTACATTTATTAGGTTAGCCTTTTAGTTGAGACCGACGACATCCTTCATTTTAGTGTCCGAGCCAACATTATGCAAAGTCCATATATAAAAGACAACACGCACGCAAGAGAGCATCCATTAAAAAATATTATAAACTTTAGTTGAAAAGAACAAATCCTAGCCTTCAAGAACAATTCTAGATTCTTTGTAGTTTTCTTGCTTTCTTTTCCCATTTAAGGAAGAAAAAAAAGTTTCCTAAACTGTCTATGAAGGGAGTGTTTACAGATGGCATAACCCAATTTGTTGAACTACTCAGTAGAAAGCTAAGCATAAGATATAGAAATGCACTCATGGCTTGGTAGATGACTTAAACTTTTTCCATTTATCCATTTCAAAGTTGAATGATGTAAAAGTTGGAGAGGTGCAAGAGTAGGTTACCTTTTAACTAAATGCAATTGTATAATACGTGCAAGTGATATGCACAATTCAATACAAGCTTCTAGTTGCTTTCGGAAAATGAAGTTGGGACGACAATTCAATTCTTCAATCATAATACATAAATATGTGTGTGTGTGTGTATATATATATATATATATATAGAGGGAAGGGTTCAGGTGCGGGTATAACTTCCCGTGCGGTTGTACGGTTAAATCTGAGCAGTTGATCAAATTTATATCAACGGCTCAAATCAATGACAATTTAAAAAAAAAAAAAAAACGCGTGCCTGGAACAAAGAAGTAAATAGTCTTCGTAGTTAACCTGGTTGCCAAGGGTCGTCTCTTTGCCTCCTGCACAACTTGAGCACCAAAGCTGGATTTCACCTCGTAAAAAACATCATTTGGACCCACCAGGTAATGGAAGCAGTGTGCGAATACCAGGAAGGCGAGGAGGAGACTCATTCAACTCATCAACTCTATACTTTGAATTTGGATTTCTCCTTTTATCTTGCTTAGGAGTAGCGCAGCTTTGCTGGAGGGTTTTGCCAAAGCCCAGGGCAAGTCGGAGGCTTGGTGCACTTAAGATCTTAATCACAAACTCACGCACTTTAAGTACAAAACCTACACACATTAAGCACAATCTCACGCACATTAAGCACAAAACCCACGCACTTTAAATATTAACTCACAGACTTTAAGTTTCAACAACTACTGACATTAAGTACAAAACTCACGCACATTAAGTACAAAACCCACGCACATTAAGCACAAACCCCACGCACTTTAAGTATTAACTCACAGACTTTAAGTTTTAACAACTATTCACGTTAAGCACATCCCCACGCACATTAAACACAAAACTCACGCACATTAAGCACAAAACACACGCACATTAAGCACAAAACTCACGCACATTAATCACAGATCCGCTCACCTTAATTTTGACCTAGATGCAAAAATTACAAAATTGCCACCGCGTTTTTTTTTAAACTTTGATAATCCTAAACGTTGATTTAAGCGAGATGAAAGGCTCAAATTAAACCGCACAACCGCACCAGAACCTATATATATATATATATATATATATATATATATATATATATATATATATATATATATATATATATATATATATATATATATATATAGGGACGCACTCAGGTGCGAATAAGTGCCCAGGAAGGAAATGCAAACGAATCAGCGCGCGACACGTGTCCAGATCTAATAACTTAAAAAAAAACGCGGTGGCATTTTCGTAAATAATTGAACATCGAAGTGCAAGTAAAATCTCTTATAAGTGCACCTATTTTCACCTATTAGTGCATGTAATTTTGCCTTGTTAGCATTCACTTTCCGCAACCATTCATGCACCTGGGTGTGCTTATAAGTATTTGTGCAACTATTTATAACTATCGGTGCAACTACTTTAACTATATGCGCACCTACTTTAACCTATAAGTGCATGTAATTTTGCCTTGTTAACATTCATTGATCTGAGTTCGCGAGTAGTAATACTCCTGAAAACCACTCGCAAACATTCATACACCTAGATGCAACTACTTATACCTATGTGTGCAACTACTTAGAACTATTGGTGCAACTACTTAGAACTATGAGTGCAACTAAGTATTGATGCTCAGTGTAAATTTTTACTTGCACCTATAATACATTTTACTTGCACATCGATGTTCAATTATTTACGAAAATGCCACCGCGTTTTTTTTTAAAATCAGTGTTTCTCATCCATTAGATCTGGATACGTGGACGAACAGAATCCATTCCTATTTCGCGCCTGGGCGAGTCGTTCGCACCCGAGTGCAAGTCTATATATATATATATATATATATATATATATATATATATATATATATATATATATATATATATATATATATATATATATATATATATATATATATATATATATATATATATATATATATATATATATATATATATATATATATATATATATATATATATATATCTGAAAATATGCGTCTAGTGTAAAAAAAAAACAAATGCATAAAATGAGGCACAACAATTTGGTAATTAGAGCATCCACATCAAAGCATAATATGGAGATATTAGTACACTAATAAGCACTTCAACAGATGGGAAGCAAAGATAATACCAAATATAATTCTCCTGCAAATGTCAAGATAATGGCAGAAAAAAAAAAAAAAAAAAAAAAAAAAAAAAAAAGCAAACAAACAAACAAAGGACCAGCGCCTGCTAAGCGCGTTTCGCGCAGAAAGCAACGCACGCGCCCGGAGACGCGTCAGGCGCGCCAACGCGTTTACATCATTTTTTTATTTTAAAAATTTCAATTTTTTTTTTTTGTTTTTTGTTTTTTTGTTTTTTTCTCTCCCCTCCCACATTCTCTTTCCTAATCACTCTTACATTATCTCCCAATTGTCCCCAACTGATGCGGATGCTCTTAAAACTTCATAGTTAAATTTCTTTTTTAGTATTTTAATATATAGACTATGCGTCTTTTGTTCTCTCACAATGGAGCAATAGTCCTCAAAGACGTAGGAAACTAGGGATTTTTCAACCCAATACTTAGGAATTCCTTCGTCTCCAATAGGCAATAGCTAGCCTCAAATATCATCATTAGTCTCTATCGCGTCGATCTTCGCCTCCATAGTTGCCAATTGTCACCATCATTACCTCACCGGTCGTCACTGTCGCCCCTTCCTTCGTTGTTACACTGCCCCGTTCGTTACCACCGCATTCTCCATTGCAGGCAAGGTCGTCGCGGGTCTTCGCAAAACAGGGGAAGATCGTCGGTCACCGTCTGTTGCCTGGCTAGGAACAAATGCCTATTATATTATTTTTTTGTTAAATAACAATCGGCATCTGTTCCTGGCTAGGAATGGACGCAGAATGTTCGCGCAATG